AATTGTAAAAATTGTAAAAATTGTAAAAATTGTAAAAACTGTAAAAATGGTAAAAATGATAAAAACAGCAAAAATGGTAATAATAGTAAAAATAATAAAAATGGTCAAAATGATAAAAATAGTAAAAATTGTAAAAATAGTAAAAATGGTAAAAATGATAAAAATAGTAAAAATTGTACAAATAGTAAAAATGGTAAAAATGATAAAAATAGCAAAAATGGTAATAATAGTAAAAATAATAAAAATGATAAAAATAGCAAAAATAGTAAAAAAATAGTGAAAATAATAAAAACGGTAAAAATGACAGAAACAGTAAAAATATCAAAAATAGTAATAATAGTAAAGATAATATTTCCGAACACGTCGCGATTGTCCACGAAATCCATTTCACTTTATAATTGTCAATTTCGTCACATTTTCAGACTCCTCCAAACTTTTCCTCTCCGTCCATAAATCCCGAATAAATTCTACGAAAGCCGCATGTTTTCAAAGGATACTCTGTTTATAAAATCGCGGGCTTTTGTACTCGGTTCACGTACGAGAGTTAGGGGATACCAGATTTTTAAGCAGCGACCTACGTGACCATCGCGGCGTCCATTTTCCTCCCGGAGTTTCATCGTAAGCCGTATGTATATTTTCCTTCGCAACAAACTCCAGAAAAACGTTCGAAACCACTACTGTTCCAAAAATCTGCTCTTCTTGAAAAACGTTACTGAAATAATAATTATTTCTTTGATACTCGACGTTCTTTACGGAGGTTTGTACTAAAGAGTGGTTTACTGAAGCTTTGGCTGTTAACGAGTCGTTAATATTTTTCGACGAAGAGCTGATAAAAATAGAAGAGGCAGAGGTAAAGATTGATGTCATTGAGTAGCGAAGTTACATTTATGGTATAGGTTTTAAGGCTTTTTGGTGAGAAATTATATTATTGCCTTTTTTATAAAAAAATTGTAGTCATTCATTTTAAGTATTTAATACCTGACGAGATTATTTGACATGTGATAGTATATAACAAATATAATATTTGATAAATATTTGAAAATATAGAAATTAGAAGATATGGAGATTTGGAAGTATACAAAAATTTGTGGACGTCATCAGAATTAAAGAAACTAAAAAATGTAGAGATTTGAAGATGTAAAGACTTGATTTCTATACTGTTTTAGAAATTTAGAAATATAGAGAAAAATAAAGAATATAAAGAAATTTGCAAAAATAAAAATTTGACAACATAGAAATTTGAAGATGTAAATATTTGAAAAGATAATAATTAAAATAAAGAAACTTGACAACATAGAATCCTAGATATATAAAAAATTGCAAAAATAAAAATTTGACAACATAGAAATTTGAAGATATAAACACTTAAAAAAATAGTAATTAAAGTAAAGAAACTTGACAACATAGAATCCTAGATGTACAAAAAATTGCAAAAATAAAAATTTGACAATATACAAATTTAAGAACATACAGATTTGAAACTGACAATAAAAAAAAATGTGTTCACACACCTGCACCCCCTTTGTACCACCTGCACCCCTCTCCAATAAACATATTATACTAAGCACGTCTTCCTACACGTTACCAAGCAATATTTCCAGAAATTTCTTTGTAGACAAAGGGATGACTAAATTTTTGAGTTCGTATCAGAGCATTCGTAGCACTGATCAGTCCTCCAATTCGCATTAACAGTTTCCAGTTTTGCTTCGAACTCGTTCTCGTTGACCTTCACGCCACTTTCGAGAAGAATGCAAATAGATCCAACCAAATATCGTCGTGTTCTATGTGTTACTAGAAAAAGCTATTCTACCTCCCCTATACTAATCAACCAAGGAATTTTTTAGTAATAAAGCTATCAAATTAGCATTTCCTTTTTTCGACTGAAATGGCTGCAATATAAAAAAGTCAGTAGGTTGAGGATAATACAGTTCTTAGAATAATCTCTCCTTACAAGAAATAAAAGTGTCAGAAAGATTGAAACGACCATAAATATCAGAAAGTGTATAAATATCAAAAAATATCTTATTAAAAAAAATTGTAACTAACAATTTTATTGACAATTTTACTGATAATGGCCTTCAGAAGATTTATGTACTAAAAATAAAAAAAATTATAATGACATAAATCTAACCTAATAAACCTAACCTAAACATAACCTAACCTAACCATAACCTAAACATAATCTAACCTAACCATAAGTAGCATAAAATATATAACTTACAAAAATAACACTATAACAATTTTACTAACAATCACTCCAACAAATAAATATATACAATCTACTAAAAATAAAAAGATCCCTAAATGGCACAAAATAACAATTCAACTCTAACAAACACAATAACCAAGAAACCAAAAATAATACTAAAAAGTGAGGTTAAGTTCGTATAAATAAAAAAGCGATTATTCTTAATTAAGAAGTAACTATGTATCTCGTACAAATCGAGCACTTGATCTCAATCAAGCACGATTCATATCATTTTTCCAAGTTCCTGCGAAACAGCACGGTGCAGCATGGAGGTCGATTTCGCGGAAAGTAAAATGCTCGGTATCCGTTCGTTTCTCGAAAGTCTGCCTCTTCCGTTCGAAGGGAAAACTGCGAATGTCTGGTGACCGGAGACAGCCAGGAATTAATCGCGACAAAATAGGCGGTTGCGAATAAACGTACCGTAATAATGGTGTTCCCGATGATTAAGGCCGACCCAGTCCGAGACAAAGGTATGCAGAGAAAGTAGGAACCCCCTCCGTGTACGCCTATGGCCGGTCGTTGCACCGCGTAATACTCTTTTTTTATATTTCTTCTTTAATCAACTCCGATATTGGTCATATTACATTTACGTTTCGACATGTTTTTTTTTTTACTACTTTTACTATTTATTTAATACATTTATTACTACTTTTACTACTTATTTACTACTACTTTTTCAGACACGACTTTTGGATATTTTTCAAAATTGTGGATAGAAAAATATATTGTCGATTTTAGAATTTTACACTTGTATGTTATTTACAATTATTTATTTCTACTTAGGGTAGCAAGGAAAATTTGAATGTACAGTAGGGTTCAGTTTTGGTCACATCCCTATTTTTGCAGTTTGATAAATTTTTTTATGTACTACTTTTAGTATTGGGTATGAAGGTTCACTATTGTCGATAGAAGAATAAATTGTCGATGAGTGTCATTTCAGAATTTCACTCCCATTACATACACGTTATCTACAATTATTTACTTATAGTTATGGTAGCAATAGAAATTTGAATTTACAGTGGCTTTCAATTTTGGTCACATTCCTATTTTCACAGTTTGACAAATTTTTTTATGTACTACTTTTAGTACTGGGTATGAAGGTTCACTATTATCGATCGAAGAATAAATTGTCAATGAGTATCATTTCAAAATTTTACCCCCATTACATACACGTTATCTATAATTATTTATTTTTACTTATGATGGCAATGAAAATTTAAATCTACAGTAGCGTTCAATTTTGGTCACATTCCTACTCTCACATTTTGCCAAACTTTTCATATAAAACTTTTAATATTGGGTATAAATGTTAACTGCCACATATGTATACATAAATAGTCACATATGTAATTTCATAATTTTACCTCCACATTCGTTACTTGTTTCTTAAAAAATGATCTACTAAAATTCAATCACTTACTGATCAATAGATTTGATCACCTAAATTATTCACCCTAACACCTCAAAAAAATTTAAATTAATAAATTTTCATTGAATCTACGAACATACACCATGGAACCCTACAGGGAATAATTTAACAGCCGGCAAGTGATTGTCCGCGGCGATAAAATAATTAGCCTAAGGCTACTGACTCGCCCGGATCTGTTTTATAAGTAGCATGGTTTCTTTTTTTAAGACAGCCGTTACCGGCACACTAATGGATCCAATGTATGATTGCGCTAGTTAGACGCGTTGACCTTGCTCGTCGACTAACTGCAAGAAGTATTGCGCACTTCCGGCTGGTCATTCATGTCTCTTCACTTTGCGATTCAGAATGCGACTGTATACCCGCCTTGTCCGTTCACGTCCCCTTTAATTGCTGTTTGTCAGCAGACTTTAATTAACCACTCGCGTTAGGGACTATCCTACGTGATAATTAAACGGCAGGTTCCCTTGATTATTATAATTAAACTGGTTTCTCCAAAAATTTTAATGTTGAGGTTCTTGTTATGATTTCCTCTTTTTTTTTATTATTGTTTAAGTATTTTTGGTAATAATTATTTAAGGTTTATTTTATGTTAAATAGGTGTACTTCATGTTAATCGTCATTGAGTTCACAGACGTCATCATAGTCTGATCATGCAGTTGACATTTTGGAATAAACTCGAATAAATAGCTAGTTAGAATAAAAATATAGTTCATGTTTAATACTTTTGTTGTGACTAGTTATTAAATAAAAATATAGTTCATGTTTAATATTTTTATTGTAACTATTTATTAAATAAAAATATAGTTTATGTTTAATATTTTTGTTGTAACTACTTATTGAATAAAAATGTAGTTCATGTTTAATATTTTTGTTGTAACTAGTTATTAAATAAAAATATAGTTCATGTTTAATATTTTTATTGTAATTACTTATTAAATAAAAACATAATTCATGTTTAATATTTTTATTCTAACTAGCTATTAAATAAAAATATAGTTTATGTTTAATATTTTTATTTTAAGTGGTTATTCGAGTCCGTTCTGAACTGTGAACTCTATGATCAGACGTCTATGAGGTCCATGTTGACACGACAATACCAGATATGATAATGGGAAAAATATTTCACAGGCTGGTTAAAACTGATGGCCAACCAAAAGTGATAACCGAGGACACAGAATAGAATTGCGAAACGTTTAATTGTTCCCGACACACGGTGAGCGCGAGATTAATCAAGGTGGCTCTTAGGGGAACGCGTTAAGCCTTAATGACCAGTCAGCGCGACGTAAAGACAAAGAGAATCAGATAAAAGGCCGATTCACTTACCCTTGGCCCATCCAGTGAGAACGTTCCCAAGATAAGCGACCTTATAACAAGGGTCGTACTCTGTGATCGAGGCATTACCCCTGTGCCTTCTCCAGAGTCTTCCTAGCCCCCTCTTCAACGACCTCAGCGTCTTCTGACCGAATTCCTTTCCTGTAATCGCGTTCTGCCCCGAGCCCGAGGTGTCGTTCTCTTCGTCCACGGGGTCCGCGACCACGTCGCCCATCGTCTTCATTTTTCTTTCCGTCTCTACACTGATATTCAAAGTCTTCCAGATTCACTTTCGGAAAAGTAACGAACAGGTCGAATGCGTCGATCAGCTACATCTCCCTGAATAGTAGCCGAAGAGCGACTCGACCTTTCCAGGGTCCTGCGGAGCCCGAGCTAAGATAGCCGACCAGGTGGATGAGCTCTATCGAGGTCACGACCGGTGCCGCTGATCGAGAGAGGTTGTGAAACTCGAATAAATCTCTCTCGATACCGAGTTGCTTGCTCGACCACTGCTACGCGTTACTTCTTCCACACCTTCAAGGCCGACCTCTCGTTGCTGTTCTCACGTACGGAGGAAGGTCGGTGGTTCTCACGAAAAGGAGATATCTTCCGGGACCTCCTTCCGTCCCTTCTTGCCGAGAAGAACGACGATGGTTCTGCGGCTTCTGGAACACAAACCACGTGGTCAGATATTAATTTGCTACGGTCGGTTAGATGTTCTTCCGTTTTGTTAGGTCTTAGAATTGCTACTGTTGGATGTTGATCTATTTCGATGTTAGATGTACTACTATTAGTATTGGTCTATTGCTATTAGATATTCATACATACTCTAAATTTCTACATAGTTGAGTACCTAAATACCTAAATTCCTAAATCTCTAAATACCTGAATATCTAAGTACCTAACTAGCTAAATACCTAAATCTGTAAATTCATAACTTCCTGAATTTCTAAGCCCTTAAACCTCCAACTCCCTAGGTCCTTAAAGTCCTAAAACCCTGAAACCTTAATACTCTAAAAACTTAAACCTTGAATCCTAAAACCCTATAACCTCTAAAACTCTAAAACTCTGAAACCCTGAAACCCTAAAATCCTGAAACCTTAAAACCCTGAAATCCTAAAACCTTGAAATGCTCAAACCCTGAAATCCTCAAACCCTGAAATTCTCAAACCTTGAAATCCTAAAACCCTGAAACCTTAAAACCCTGAAATCCTAAAACCTTGAAATCCTCAAACCCTGAAATCCTAAAACCCTAAAACCCTAACACCTTAAAACCCTAAAACTCTGAAACTCTATAAACCCTATAATCCCTATAATCCCTAAAACTCTAGAACCCTAAAACCCTGAAACCTTTAGACCCTAAAAGCCTAAAACCCCAAAAGTCCAAAACCCTGAAACCCCAAAACCCTGAAACCCTGAAACCCTAAAACCCTAAATCCTCAAACTCAAAAACACTAAAAGCCTAAAACCCTAAAACCCTAAAATCCTGAAACCCTAAAACCCTAAAACCCCAAAACCTTAAAACCCAAAATCCCTAAATATCTGCTTGGTTCAAAGCGTAAGTAACGTTTTAAATAACCCGACGCGATCAAAAGAAGCTTAACTAGTTTCTAATTAAACGCAGGTTGTAATTTAGAAATACTGGTACTTCGAAAGGTAATAATGCCGGTTATAAAGGGTTAATTACAGTGCGTTAATTGAGTCTTATAGGTTCATAAACGTTCCCGTAACTGTGGGATGCGCCGAACAAAAGGATTACGAGAACTAACTTACGAGAATAAACGTAAAAGTTGATACACGGTTTGGTGAATTTCGAGCCCAAGGCTTCTCACTTGCACTTTAGTATTAGACCGAACCGTGCAAATCGGCTATGTCGTTGCTCGGTTAACTTATCTTACCGGAAATTACGGCTTTCAACGGAAGTCTTGCGGTCAGTCTGCTACGAAATCTTGCTCAATACTCTTAAGGATCGAGCTAGGTTCTTTGGAAAGAGCCAAGACTTTTCTGTCTTCTACTTCTTACTTTGTTCGCTTTTCTTGTTCGATTAAATTTCTTGCCTTTCGTTCGAAAGATACATCTCATGTTTAGCAAAACTTTGCAAATTTATTCATTTTTGTCTTGTAGTTTTATTTTGAAAGATATGTTGATGTGACACTTTTCGTTTTTAAGGTTTCAAGTTTTTAAATTGAGAAATTCTTAAATTTAGAAAATTATGGCAGAGGACGTGAACAAATAAAACCACAAAATATTGGGAGAATGAGTAATTTTTGTATTTTAAACTTACAACAATAATGAAAGACAATAATAATTAGACAAAGACCTAATACGCTGATCTGCTACAAAATTGGTATAAAGCAACCATTTTGTTACAGTAGCCCCACGTGACTCAGAGGAAAATAGCGGCTATCGAAGCGATTCTACCGTCACAAAATGCAACAATGCTTCAATCATAATATTCAAAAATTTTTTAACAGTAAACTGATATTTTGCAAAAATAAAATCTAACTTAAAAAAAGTACCATTTAACATTTAATAAATACATAAGGTTACAAAAATGAAACCACAAAAATCAGAAAAAAAATACTTTATCACCCAATAATTGTCACCAAAATCACTCAAACTTTCACCCAGTAATTGTCCACATACACCAAAATATAAAACAAAACATTCACTAACAAAAGCAACAGAATTAAGAAATAATCGTTTACAACAACCACAGTAAAATTCTTGAAAAGAAATTGAAAGAGGATGCTCACCTCTTCAAATTCCTACGACGAACTCGTCGACTGTCAATAACAGACGCAAGCACATACCGGCACAAAAGCATAATGTAATTTTCCGAACGGTCTTCTGCATACACATACACAAACACACATACATGTATACATATACATTGTATATACCTTGTGCATCGAACTGACATAACCACGTTGGACCGATTTTCAAGTACACAACACGTGACCGATAAGCACGTGCTGAACGTAAAACGATACGTGCTTATGAAATTATTTCTGCATATCAATGCATATTCGAAATAGTATCTCTACGTTCAAGAAAACTGAACAATGAACCGCGTCGTTGAAAATTTTCCACGTATAATTGTATTGTGTGATAATCTTTGTGTTATACGTAGTGGCAAATCGATTGTTAGGGCTTCATTAATAATTTATTTTGCGTCGTGACATTTGGAGGAAAAGACGGGTTATATTAGGGGGGTGGTTAAGAGCGGAGGTTAAGGGGAGGTTATGAGGAAAATGAAGAGTTTGGGAAATTTTATTGGTTTAGTGGTGTATTTTTAGATCGGAGTTTGGGAGTTTGGGGATTTAGAAATTTGGGAGATTGGGAGGTTAGAAATTTGGGGGTTGGGAGTTCAGAAATTTGGGAATTTGGGAAATTAGAAATTAGGGGGTTGAGAAGTTGAAAATTTAGAAATTTAGGGTTTGGGAATTTGGAAATTTGAGAAGGTGGAAATCTGAGAAGTTGGAAATTTGAGAAGTTGGAAATTTGAGAAGGTGGAAATTTGAAAAGTTGGAAATTTGAGAAGGTGGAAATTTGAGAAGTTGGAAATTTGAAAACTTGGAAATTTGAGAAGTTGGAAATTTGAAAACTTGGAAATTTGAGAAGTTGGAAATTTGAAAACTTGGAAATTTGAGAAGTTGGAAATTTGAAAACTTGGAAATTTGAGAAGTTGGAAATTTGAGAAGGTGGGAATTTGAAAAGTTGGAAATTTGAGAAGGTGGAAATTTGAGAAGTTGAAAATTTGAAAACTTGGAAATTTGAGAAGTTGGAAATTTGAGAAGGTGGAAATTTGAGAATTTTGGAATTTGAGAAGTTGGAAATTTGAGAAGGTGGAAATTTGAGAATTTGAAAATTTGAGAAGATGGAAATTTAGAAATTTGCAACCTTGAAAACTAAAAAATTTGAAAACTTAAAAATTTCTACAACAACATAAAAATACATATCCCCTTGATTTACATATTTCTCAAGTAACATATCTTATTAAACATAACGTCTAAATCATAATAACCCCAATAGCTTTGATATTACTAAAAATGTTTCAAGGTTGAATATAGAAGATCCGTCTCGATAAGTGGCCATCAAAATCGACAACGTTAAGGTGCAAATTACTTTATTGATATATCATCGTTCTCCAACTTTCGAATCGTCCTGCTTACAATTAGTATAATAAATATTCATTAGGGATTGTTGAGTGAAATTTGTATGCACACTTTTTAACCGTGCTTCGAAGTTTGAAGGTTAAACATACATATAGATTAAAAATATAATTCTTTTCTTTCAGAAAATATGGTGAAAGTTTAATTATATACTTGAGACAATATTGTCACATTTACTTGTATTAAAATTATCTTGTTTTATTATTTACGTACTTAGATTTATGTGACTTGTGTTTTTTGTTTTTTATTTTTGTTGTTTTTTTAAGAATAGCTTTGATTTGATTGTTTTTAATGAGAATATTAATTTTGATATCTGTTTAAGGTATATATTATTAAAATAGTAAAATAACAAGATAATAAAATGGTACAATTTTAAAAACGGTAAAAATGACACAAATTATAAAAACGGTAAAAATAGTAAAATCGGTAATAATAGTAAAAATGATAAAAATGGCAAAAATGATAAAAATTATAAAAACTATAAAAATTATAAAAATGGTAAAAATGGTAGAAAGAGTAAAAATGATAAAAGTCGTAAAAAATGCTAAAACTGGTGAAATCGATAAATATGCTAAAACTCGTAAAAATGGTAAAATAGTATAACAGCGAGGAGTAAAACAGTGAAACAGTAAACTGACAAAATATTGAAATGTTAAAATGGTAAAATGGTGAAGATAACCAACAGTTGAATAATAAACAAGTAAAAGATAAAAATGACAAGAATGTCAAAGAAGTAAAATAAAATAGTGTTCTAGTAAAAATAACAGAATATCCTAAGAAAATATTGAAATAGCAAATTAATAATAAATTATGAGTAATAGTAATGTAATGAACTAATAAAACAGTAAACTACAAAAATAACAAAATACTTATACAAAAACAGCAACTGCCTATCTTGACAAATAATAAATAATTTTAGTACAAATAATTAATTATCTAAACAAACGAAAAAGCAACGTCCTCGTCCAACGGTGCAGCTAACTGTAAAAATGGCCGGCGAGAGAATAAGTTGCAAATGCCGGGATACACGTCCCGTTTGTTAGACCGTATTCGAAATTATGGGACAAGGAATTACATTTAACGTAACTCGCGTCCACTGTTTACTTCCTAATATACTATCACTGTATTTTCTGAACGTATGTATACCGGTTTCGCACCTGTTCGCCTAACCTGTCGTACCGAGTATTTATGCACCACTCGGCTGCTGTATTCAACGAAAACTCTAAAATACTGCCTTCGGTATAATTACCGTTATCGCGTTCGTATTCGTTTTTAGCCTTTAAATTTCACAGGAATCATTTTTACCAATTCGCGAGTAATTCTTGTCAACGACGCCGTTGAATCCCTTCTATTTATTAGACTAGAGAACTACCATTGATATAATCTTCCGCGTTATTTATTTTAACCTTGGCACTCGATTTTAACCCTTAATTAAATAACTGGAAAGTACACGTGCAGTGGAGTTAAAATTGTATGTCTTTTTAATCCTC